TGGAGGGCTGCATTTTGCCCAGGTCTGAGTTAACATAATCTTCACTGTGACATGTCAATAATCCAGATTCCTAAGACTCTCCAAGGCTGCTTCGTTGATAATGCCACCAACAAACATCAAAATGAGATATCAAGAGAAAATTTAATTTATTTCCCAAATTTGTAAGGGCTCAGTAAAGTACAAGGCTTTTCTTTTCCACTCAAAATGCTACATTAAAATTTTAAAATAAAATATTCTAATAATCTCCATGTCTCCAGGGAAGTAACCAATTATTTCTTTTTTTCAAACTGCAGAACATAAATTCCACCCCCAGACTCTGTATATCCCAGGGCTTAGATAGTCTCCAAAGAATGTCTACTTCTCATGAGATGTGATATATCAGCACTCTAAATGGATGCAGAAGACTTACATCTCTCACCTCCTTAAGCTGGATGTTAGAATGCTGCTATTTATTTGCTCATTGTGAATGCTATTTTATATGGGAGCTGTATATTCTTACTGAAAGAAGAATACAATAGTTCTAGGTAAGAGTTGCTAAGGCAAAATATTTGTAGCTATACTCCATAGTACATCTGATATTCTGTTAAGCATATGCCACATTTTAGAAGAGAATTATGAGCTAAATTATGGCAGCTTACTCCATTTGAGAAAACGATGATTTTGGTGTGGTAAAACCTGCAAAACCGTTCTTGTTAATATTTTTACAAGGTGTATGTATAAAAGACATCTTTCTAATATTGTGTTTTACTAAGATCATATCCTGCTACTTCTAAATTTTTAATAACTGTATAGTCTGATGTTTTCACTTTTCTGATTTCTATCATTTCCCACTACTCTATTGTTATTGCTGTTGTTGTTTCACCTTATATACCACCTTATAGTGGTAGAGCACACTTGGTATGGTTTACAACATAATTATGGCAGGAACATTTTGCCCCTCGTGACCTGGGTATTCATTTTACCAGCCTAAGAAGAATGGAAAACTGAGTCAACCTTCAGTTGGCTACCTGAACTCTTTGGGATCAAAGTCAGGTCATGAGCAGAGGTTTCACTGTAATACTACAGTTAAACTAGTGTACTTTAGTTTTGAGATGTTTTTCAGTGCCTTCCGTGGTAAATTGGAGTGATAACATGGCCATGTGCAATCTGTGGCCATGTTATTGCTCCAATTTACCATGGTTCTAGTTCATGTGTAGAGACTAGACATTAGCAGAAGTTATTCCACTTTAGACACATCCTCCTACATATGGAGGAAGTGGTGGTGGAGAAAGAAGGAATGAGTTGCTCTGTGTTGATTAAAATGGAGTGGAAAATGAGTGAATAGCGCTAAAGACAGAGGCAGAGGTAGAAACAGACAAACAGACATAGGGATGCAGATCTCTGCCTCTTCCATCCTCACAGAAAGAAAGAATGAGAAGTACAAATTATATAATTTATGCAAATTATTCAAAGCCTTAATTGCTGCAGTCGTGTTCTGTGAGCTTATAGAAATCACAAGCATTGGGTGAGTTCTTTGCATATTTTAAGCAACCATCAAGTCCTCTGCTTGCTGTCTTTTTATGCTTAAATTCATGAAAGGTCAGAGCCTGAGATTTATGCAGACTGCTGTAGAGACATATGACCAAGTTGCACAAATCTTGGGGAAGGAAAGGGGTGTCCCTTGTATCACTCACTCTGGAGGCGAGGTGTTCAAAGGATTTGGGAATTTCTGAGCAAGGAGTCTTACCCTACCTAAGCTGACATGGAAAGGAATTTATTAAATATTCAGAACACAGCAAACACTGGTGTGTGGGTTTTTATTATCACATTTGGTTTCAGTGTTGAATATCCATTAGCAGAAAATGCTTTATTTTTAAAATGTTCCATTCCATTATAGAAGTACTGACTACAGATTTTGGCTCTCCCTTTCCACAGAAGGGATGAACCGGACAGAGGTGCTTGAGTTTATTCTTTTGGGTCTAACAAAGGACTACACACAGCAAACCAGTCTCTTCACACTTTTCCTGCTGCTTTATCTGGCCTGCTTGCTAGGAAATGGGGCTATTTTGGCAATAGTCCTGGCTGAGCCACGACTCCACACTCCCATGTATTTTTTCCTTGGAAATCTTTCTCTTTTGGACATATGCTACTCCACAGTTACGGTGCCTAAGATGTTGGGTGGCCTCTTAGTGAAGAACCAGTCAATTTCCACTGTTGGCTGCTTCACTCAGCTTCATTTCTTCCATTTCCTGGGCAGCAGTGAGGCGATCCTGCTGGGTGTCATGGCATATGATCGCTATGTTGCCATATGCCATCCGTTGCGTTACACCATCATCATGAGTAAACTATCTTGTGTCGTGTTAGCTATCGCTACCTGGACTGCTGGGTTTTTTCATGCACTTGTCCACACAGTGATGACCTCCCGGCTTTGGTTTTGTGGCTCTAACCTTCTGCAACACTTCTTCTGTGACATCAAGCCTTTGCTGAAACTGGCGTGCAGCAGCACTGTAATCAATCTCACCCTTCTTAATGTTGTCACTGGTACAATTGCTCTGAGTCCCTTCTTTTTCACACTTCTGTCCTACCAGTATATCATCTCCTTCCTCTTCTTCAAAGTCCAGTCATGGCAGAGCTGCTGGAAAGCCTTTTCCACCTGTGCTTCTCACCTCACAGTTGTGGCTATATTCTATGTCCCAGTTCTTGCCAACTACATGCTTGCCTCTGGAGGTGAATTCTCACAAAGGGAAATGAGCATTACTCTGCTGTACAGTATTGCCACTCCTGTTTTAAATCCATTGATCTACACATTGAGGAATCAAGAGGTGAAATCTGCTCTGAGGAAATTCCTGTGCAAGAAACCACTCTCTACAGGGACACAACAGAGACTGTTGGAAGAAAGGTAGATATTGCCAATTTAAAATGTTCTACCCTGGTTTCTGAATAATGAGAAGAAAATTGAGTGTTTGGGCTTATGATTCAAACATCAGCTCTACCTGGCAGAGCCAATGCCAAGAAGACATAGGAGCATTAGGAGGGTCAAAGATTCCCCATCCTTAGTTTAGCGGGAGTCTCAAGTGACAACATACAATATATAGAGTTAACCAGGGATGGCAAACAGATTTAACTAATTACTCACTTATATTCGAATCTCCCCACCCTTTATTTTTATATCTGAAATATGGAAGAGCCCACAAATCTCATTTAGTAGATGCTAAAATCCAATAAAGAAAAAATAAAGGGTGGGGGATATATTTCATATTTCAGATATAAAAATATATTTCAGATATTTCAGATATAAAAATAAAGGGTGGGGGGATTAAAGGGATATATATATATATCCTTGTTATATATATATATATCTTTCTCTTTTGGACATGTGCTACTCTACAGTTATGGTGCCTAAGATGTTGGGTGGCCTCTTAGTGAAGAACCAGTCAATTTAACAAGGATGTACACTGTCCTTGGACTTGTTTACCGATAAATCAGGCTTATTTGTGTTCTTTCTGGGCAACCACAGAGCAAGGTAAAAAAACAAGA